GAGCAGAGAGGAGAAGTCTGGAGATGTTTCCTTTCTCTGGTTTCCATCGTTCTAGCTGCTGACAGAAGACATCTCTGAGTTCTCTCTCCTCCTCCTTCATGGTGTTCTGGTTCCACAGAGTTGCACAGAAACGTGACCCTCAGTGAAGGAACACGAGACAGGAGATGAAGACAGAGGATCTGCTCTGGGAGGTGTTGTGGAGTCTTCTGCTACCTTGGACTTGTGTCAGCCAGTTGGGTTGGTTGTAGTGCTCGGAGGCGCTGAGGGAGGTGTTGAGGAAGACGAGCAGCAGAACCAGCCAGTAGAACGTCACCGACTTGACGGCCGTGCGACACGTTCTCCGACAGACCCGGTTCCAGCGCCGCAGCGTCCGGCTGAAACAGAACGACAGAGTCAGCGCGGGGAGGGGGAGGCGGCCGAACGTCCGACGGTCAGCGAACTCACCAGCAGCCGATCTTCATCATCCGAGCGCTGAAACGCAAAAACACAGAGTTCAGTTCAAACATGCGGCCTGCAGGGGGCGCTACAGCCGGTACACTGTCAGCAGATACAGAAGAAGAAGTGTGTGTGTTACCAGCAGGCCTGGCAGCAGTTGGTGTGCTCCTCATCGATGTTCTCGGTGTTTTCAGAAGCTGTTTCACTGGCAGGAAGACTCGCTGACGGACAGAAGACAAAACCAGTTATACAGACATCAATACCAGACATACAGAACCACCCACTGGGTCACTCTGACGGACAGAACCACCCACTGGGTCACTCTAACATACAGAACCACCCACTGGGTCACTCTGACGGACGGTCTATGGTCGGGAGGCTCCAGCCGGCTTTTGGTTGTAGTGACAACTCCCAGACTACGCTCATGGTTCACCTGCTCATCCAGGTGTTCTTCAACTGATGGTATCAACATGAACCAAAGGCTCGAGCCTGTTTGTGTCAAAGAGTCAAGAAGTTCTTCTGGTCCTTCTTCTTTGTGGCTGTTCTCTGTCTCTTTGTGGAGGTTTTGTGTCTCTTTGTGGAGGTTTTGTGTCTCTTTGTGGAGGTTTTGTGTCTCTTTGTGGTGGTTTTGTGTCTCTTTGTGGT